CGACAGAGCGAGCTGGTCATCCTGTACCGCTCGCCGCGGTCCATGTTTGCCCCCTCCCTCACCCCGGGGTCCATGATCCTGGAGACCTACCTCCGTATGGTGGGCGTTCCCTACCGCACGGTGCCCGTGCAGGACATCGACTCCAAGGGTGCGTGCGCGTCCTGCGCGCCGGCAGTCCCCCCGCCCCCTTTGTCTCTCCCCCCCCCCTCTCTGGGCCCTTCGCCTCGCACACGCCCGGCTCCCGCCTCTCACACCTCCACACACAGGTCATGACGCCTATGTCATGCAGAATGGCATCCGCATCTCCTCGTCGGCCCCCTTCCTGTCGCACGCCCTGCGCGGGGTGACCAACGCCGTGGACCTGGACCTCGGCCTGGACGACGCGGCCATGTCCACGTCCTTCTTCATCGACCAGTGCCTCCGCGGCAAGCTCATCCACATTTTCTCCTACTACCAGTGGGTCCGCCAGTGCGTGCCTCCCCCCCCCCCCCCCCGGCCCCCCCGGCCCGCCCCACGCCGCTGCTCAGCTGACATGCTCGCATCCCCGCCCGCAGGCCCGAGCTCGCCGGGCTCCACCTGGTCGGCTGGCCCGAGCCCTTCGGGACCATCCTGGCCAAGATGCGCGTCAACCTCAAGGTTCGTCCCTCTCCCTGCGTGCGCCCCGCCGCCGGCGCACCCGCGCCCGTACTCACCCTCCTCTTCGCGCGCGCGCGCGCGCCCCCCGCCCTCTCTCTCCCCCGGTCCCGGCCCCGCCCGGCCTGCAGCTCGGCCCCCGCCTCGCCAGCCTCGGCATCGCCTCCTCTTCGGAGGACGAGATCAAGCAGGTCTGCCGCGTGGTCTGCCAATCGCTCAGCAGCATCCTCGGCGACAAGAAGGTGTGTTCTCGCTTGCCCCCCCCCCTCCGCTCGCTCGCTCGCTCGCTCGCTCGCTCACCTGTCCCCGACCCCGGCCGCCGCAGTTCTTCCTCCACCCCAGCCGCCCCACCTCGGCCGATGCCGTGGTCTTCGGCACCCTGGCCCCCATCTTCTTCGGCCCCTTCGACTCGCCCATCCGCGAGTACATGCTCTTCCAGCCGTCCATCATGAACCTCCACGTCTACCTCCTCCGGTGCGTGCCGCGGCCCCTCCCGCTGCCCTTGGCCCCCGTCCTTCCCGTCTTTTGCTTATTGCGCTCCCCCCCCCCCCCCTCCCCCCCTTTCCCCCCATCACCACCACGCAGCATCCGCGACATGTACTGGCCCGACTGGAACGAGTGCTGCCGCGCCTCCTCCGGCTAGGATGCGCCTGACGCGCCCCGACCGTCCTTGTGTGTCCCCCCCCCCCTCCTCCCTCCTCCTGCCGGACGTCCCCCTGTAGATCCTCTCCCCCTGGCCGGGTGCCCTGCCCCCACCGGCATCAAATACCCCCTCCGCCTCTCTCTCCCTCTCTCTCTCTCCCTCCCGCCTGCACCCTGGCCAGCATCGCGGCATGCGTGTGTATTTTCCTCCTGTCGACATGCTTCCATGTTCCTGTCTCCCGCAGAAGGGGGGGGGGGGACACACCACATGCTTCTCTCGGTGTCCCCTGAAAAAAAAAGCAACAACACAAAAAACATGCACCAGCACCCTTTGTCGCGCGTTCTTCCTTTCGCGCGCGCACACACATGCTCGGCATGTGGGTGCCCCCCCCCGCGCCGCCGGCTGGGCTCACGGCTGCCGGCCGGCGGCCGCCGCGCGCGCGTGGAAGTACCGGCCGGCCTGCTCGGCCTCGGTGCCCGGGCGCGGGGGCAGCGTCGGTGCCGTCGCCGGCATCCCGTCGCCATGGATGCGGTGGTACTCCTCCTGGAAGGGGTTGTTGAGCTTGGCCCCGGGTGCCGCCACCGGCGGCGGCTTGGCCGGGCCCGGGGCGGCGGTCGTGCGCAGGGTCCGGAAGAACCCCGACAGGTCGTCCTCCAGCAGGGGATCCTCGCCGGGGACCGGGGCCGCCTCGGCCAGGCCCCCCCCTCCAGCGGCCATCGAAGGCACCGGGTCGCCGGGGCCCCGTGCATGGGCCTCGCCCCGGTTGATGCCGTGCGAGCTGTGGTTCGCCGAGGGCAGGGCCGCGGTCGACGCATCGGACACCATGTCGGCCAGGCCGCCGTGCGAGGCCCCCGGCGAGGCTGGCATCGGCGGCTGCTCGGCCGGGCGGGGCGGCACCGCGGGCGCGGCCATGTGCGCCCGCACCGGCTGCTGCGGGCCGGGCCCGTCGGCCGCGTGAAGGGGCGGCGGCGGCGGCGTCGTCGAGCCGGGCGCGGCCGCCGGCTTGCCGGCGGCCCCGGGCCCCGGGCCGAACCAGGAGCGCCCGCCGGCCCGGCGCTGCTCGCGGTCCTGCACCTGCCGGAGATGCTCCTCGCGGTGGCGCGCCTGCGCGTCCTGGCGCTGGCGATACTGCTCCTGGCGCCGGGCCTCCTGCTCCTGGCGCCGGCGCTCCTTCTCTTGGCGCTGCTGCTCCTTGGCATAGGCCCGCATGGAGGCGTGGGTGCGCGAGATGCCCGACCACCCGCCGGAGCCGGAGCCGGAGCCGGCCGCGCGCGTTTGCGTGAAGGCCGCCGTGGCCCGGTGGGCCGCGTCCATGGGGTTGGCCGGGGCCGGGGCCGGGCTCGCGCCCGGGGCCCGGTCAGCCGCGTGCGGCCGCAGGGCCCGGCGCAGGCCGGCCAGCGACAGCAGCGATCGCACCGCCTGGCCGAAGGACCCGAGGCTGCCGGCGGTGGCCGACCCGGGCCCGGGGGGGCCGCGGCCGGCCCGGCTGATGGCCGTCGCCACCGGCACCCGGCGGCTGGCCAGGTCGGTGGGGTCGCCGGCCCGGGCCCGAGCCCGGGCGCCGGGCGGCCCGCCGCCCTCCCCCTCGTGGTCTTCGTCATCCTCGACATCGACCACGTCGGCCGGCCGGGGGCCGGTCTCGGCGCGCGATTGGCGGTACTGCCGCCAGCTGCGCGCGGCCATGGCCGCCGCGGCCAGGACGCTGTTGCGCCCGGCGCCGGGGCCGGACGCGGGCCCGGGCGCCGCCGGGACCAGGACCCGCAGGCGCAAGGCCCCCCGGCCGGCGCCGGGCGCGCCCCCCCGCGGCAGGCCCTCCCCCGGCAGGACCAGCACGTCGATCAGGCGCCGGCGGTCGGCCGCCGGGCCGTCCTGCTCCGGGTCGGGTGGCTGCTCGTCGCGCCGGCGCAGCGCCGCCGCCAGGACGTCGGTCGTCACGCACATGGGGATTTCCAAGTCCGACCCGTCGGCCGGGCGCCGCAGGCGAAAGGTCCGCGTGATGGTGCAGGTCTCGGTGGCGGCGGCGGCTTCGGCCACGGCGGCGGCGGCGGCGGCGGCCTGGCCACCGGCGCGTGACCGCCCGGCCAGCGAGCCATTCCCGGCTCGGCGGCGGCCGGCCGCCCGCTTGGCCGCCTCGCGCTCGGCCCGGCGCAGCCAGCGCTCCGGGTCGGTCCACTCGACGTCGGCCTCCAGGTCGCCCGGCTGGCCGGGCACCCGGCGGAACACCGGGTCCGGCACCTCCACACACTGGACCAGGACGTCGCCGCGGCCGGCGCTCCGGCCGGCGGCGGCCCCCGGGTCCGGGCCGGGTCGCGACTGGCCGCCCGGCTGCCCGGGCCCCTCGGCCCCGAGCAGGCGAATGTGCCCGATGCCGTGGAAGCGCACGCCGGCGCCGGGGCCAGCCGGCCGGAGCAGCTCCTCGGCCCCGGGCCCCAGGCAGAGGGTGGCCTGCTCCAGGACGGTCCCGGTGCCGGCGCACTCCTCGCACCGCTGCCGGGCCATGCGCCGGCGAAGCTCGCTATCGGTGGTGGTGGTGGCGGCGGCGGCGGCGGCGGCGGCACCGGTCGATCCGGCCGCACGCTGGCCCCGGGCCAAGGGCAGCCGGTCCAGCCCCGGCAGGTCGAACACCCGGCCGCGGCCGGAGCACTCGCTGCACGCCGACCGCCGGTGGTAGCCCACCCGCCGGGGGGCGGCCCCGCCGCCGCCGCCGCCGCCGCCGCCGCCGCCGCCGGGCCCCCCCCCGGCCGAGGCCAAGTCCCGCAGGCTGATCTTCACCTGGAGCTCGATCAGGTCCGAGTCGTTGTCGGCCGCGGCGTCGGCGACCCACCGGCCGCCGGGCCGGAGGACTTCAGTATCGCCGGGCCGGTCGCCGGGCATGGTGGCGGCCGCGGCGGCGGCGGCGGCCGCCGCCGCGCGCCGCCGCTCCCGCGCCATCGTCGAAAAGAACCCCGTCGAGGAGGTGGAGGACGAGGGCTCCGGCTCCGCGGCGGCGGCGGCCGCCTTCCAGGCGCCGGGCTTCTGGAAGAGCCCGCCGGTTGGCGGGCCCCCGGCCCCGCGCCCGGCCACCCCCCAGCGGCTGGTCATGCTGCCGCCGGGCCCGCGCCGGGGGGTCGCCTGGCCCGAGGACAGGGCGCTCCCCCGGCCGGGGCCCGCGGCGGCCCACGGCAGCCACTCGCTGGAGGACTCGCCGCTGGAGGGCCCCGCCGAGTCCGGGCCCAGGGCCTCCGACGAGGATGATGCCCCCCCGGGCCCGGCGCCCGACCAGACATTCAAGCGGTCAAAGGCCGCGCGCAGGCCGGCCCCGGGGATGGCCGGCCCGTATGCCGGCCCACGGCCGGCCGCCATCCTCCCCCCCGGCGGGTCGATGCTCTGCATGGGCGGCGGCGGGACCCGCGCGCTGGCCCCAGCCGGCCCGGTGGCCCGCGCGGTCCACGGCATGGCGAAGCTGGCGCCCGCCGCCATCGAGGGCCCAAGTGGCGGCGGTGACGGCGGCGGCGGCGGCGGCGGCGGCGGCGACGGCGACCCCGCCATCCGGGGCGATGCGCACAGCGTCGACGGCGACACCGGGCCCTGGGCATAGCCCCCCGGGCCGCCCCGCGCGAAGGGCGCCTCCCCCGGCCGGGAGGGGTCTTTGGCCGGGTGGCGGGTGTGTGCGCCCGGTGGCGGGCCGGCCGCCGGCCGGAAGGGCACGTATGCGCCGGCCGCCGGCATGGCGCCGGCCCAGGCGAAGGGGCCGTCCCGCACGCGCGGCCCACTCGCCGGCGGGTCGACCGCCTGCATGGGCGGCGGCGGGACCGACGGCCCGGCCGGGCCGGCGGCCCCCCGGCTGGCGCCATACCAGCCACCGGCCGGTGCCCGGGCATGGGTGAACCACTCGCCAGGGGCCTCGCCCGGGGCCGGGCCGGCCTCCGTCCAGGCGGACCACCTCATGTGGGGCGCCCCGTGGTGGCGGCCGGCGTGGGGGCCGCCAGCCGCCGGCGGGCTGTGCGGCCCGGCCGCGGCTGTCGCTGTCGTGGTCGCCATCGGTGGCGGGGCCGGGGCCGGGGCCGGGGCCGGGGCCGGCGACGGCGGGGAGCGCTCCCCCGGGCCGGGCCCCCCCGGCCGGGCGCCGTGCGTGAAGGCGTACGACGTGCCGCCGGTGGCGGCTGGCCGGGTGCCAGGCCGGGCTGCCGGCGACCCGGGGCCTGGCGACCGGCCCGGGGCCGGGCCCGCCGGCGGCCAGCCCCCCTCCGGCGAGTAGGGCCGGTCGTCGCCGCGGCCGCGCCAGCTGGGCTCCGGCCGCCCCCGGGGCCGGGCCCCGGCGAACCCGCCCTCCGGCCGGGCGGCCGGCTCCTCCTCGCTGCTCAGGAGGCTGTCGTCGGAGGGGGTCCGGGCCCCGGGGTCCGGGCCGGCGTCCGACGGCCTGCGGCCCCACTTGAACTGGAAGCCCGAGAAGAAGTACGCCTGCTCGGGGTCCGGCCCGCCATGGCCGGGCGGCGGCTGCCACCCGTGCCGTTGCTGCTGCTGCTGCTGCTGGTGCTGCTGCTGCTGGGCATGGTGGTGGTGGGCATGGTGGTGGGCGTGGTGGTGGTGGGCGTGGTGGTGGTGGTGGTGGTGGTGGTGGGCGTGCGCATTGCGCTGGCCGGAGCCCGGGGAGTGGCGCGGCGGCGAGTGCTGCGGCTGCGCGGGCCCCTGGCCAGGGGGCCGGCCCACGTGCGCGGCATACTCCTGCTCGAAGACGTCCTCCGGCATGTTGCGCACTTCGTCGTACTCACGACGCCGGTCGGCGTCGATCAGGACCTCATAGGCTGCGGCGTTGGGGCCGCTCACGGGGGTCAGTCTCCCGGGCCTGTGGAGCCGGCGGCCGCCGGGACAAATGTGTCCCCCCCCGCCCGCACGCCCGCCCTGCGACCCTCTGCGCCGGGCGCCTGTGTCACGCACCTTCCTTGATTTTCAGGAAATGCTCCTGCCCCTCGGGGTTCTTGTCCGGGTGGTACTGGAGCGCCAGCTTCCGGTAGGCCTGCCGGATGTCCGACTCGGTGGCCGTGTCCTCTGTGTGTGTGTGTGTGTGTGTGTGTGTGTGTGTGTGTGGGTAGGTGGGTGGGTGGCGGGATGCGTCGGTCAGTGTGCCGCGGTCGGGCGCAAAGGCGAGGCACGGGGCGCGGCGTGGGCACACGCAAAGGGCAGGAAAGGGAAGAAACCCGGCCAGCGCACCCACAGCGAGGAGGACGTAGAAGCACTCGAGGATCTCCTCGGACTCGGTCATGATTGCGCTGCCAAGGCACACGGCAAGGGGCGTGGGTGTTAGCGGAGCCCGGGCGCGTGCATGTCCATGGGCGCGGGGCGATGTGGTGGTGCGCGGGTCTTTGTCCGCCGAGGCCCTGCTCTCCCCGCCCTCCGCTCCCCCCGCAGCCCGGCGAGGCCGGGGACCTGGCGCGTCACGCCTCGACAGACAGGGCCCGGCTTGCCTCGGCACGGTGGCCCGGAAGGTGTCGTCCCGGCGGAGGCCGCCATGGTGTGGGACACCTCGCGCGGCCACAGGGCCCTTCCCCCTCCGGCGCCACAAGAATGAGCACGCCCATGTGGTGTGGCTCCTTGTGCGCCGGGCTCCCCCCCCCC